TCCGCCAGAGTGAAGTACACAAAATGCGGGCAACCTGAAGCCCAGTGACAGGATCCATTAGAAGCGGTTTACTTAGGTCCTTCAAGATTAGCCCCGCTCCCACTTGCGGTCTTTCGTATCTCTCTTTGTCTTTCGTGATACTTAACACTACGATATAATACGTATAGCCTGCACCAGATATGAAGTACACTTCAATGATATTTGTAACACAAATAAATTATAAACTCAAAAAATTTAAGATCTTTTTTTTTTTTTAAAGATGCATTACAGTTAATTAAATTTTTCTTTATATTAAATTAATTAAAATCTTATTTATTGCGTAATCCGTCTCGCGTAAAAATACACGTTCCTCCGCAAATATATTAGTCACGCATTGTGTTTACTTACAAAATTCATATCCTTTCGATTACGTGTCATGACTGTGTCGGAATTTCAAACTCGGCGACACATGGCAGGTAATTTAGTATTGCATAATAATGGAACGGCAAAAGGAGAGGTCGGAGGGAAGCCGCGTTTCTCCTTGTACTTCCGCAGTTGCATTGCGGCGTAGAATTCCCATTTACAATGAGATGCTTTAATTAAAAGATTACACTCTGCGTCTCGAGGTAACTTTATCCTTGGTAATTCTGATCCGCATAGTACTAATATCCTTCTCGTTCTTTTCATTAAAATTGCAACATGTAACATTTTCTTGTTTTCTTTAAAATTTTTATTTTAAGTACCTACTTACAATCCATCGTCATTGCAATAAATAACACGCGTGTCTCCCGCATCCTCTTCAACCATCTAATTTTAATGTGTACAATGACTCGACCGTCTTCGCACCGTTTGAACGATAATTATGATACTATCCTCACGACAAGCTTCGGAACGCCGTGTCTCCTCCCGCCCCATCCCCTCTAGGAAAAGCGTTTTACGCAACGCAAACGCGTTAGAAAACCTTCCGGTCTGCCATGAAGATTGATGATCGAACCCATAGCCGACAGGCCTGAAGATTCGCTCGCCCAACTTTTTTTCCCCACTTTTCCCCTCCTTAATAGGTTACGTCACTCGGGGGAATGAAAACACCCTGGATAGTAGCATCCGCACGGCACAGTTGGTCGCAACGACAAAAGAAATAAACGTACCTCGCTGTGAACGGAGGGCGCGGTGCCTTTCGGTGCTTATAGAGTTTTTTCGTCGTTATCCATTGCCATTACCGAGAGGATAAGATCGTGAGTCTAGTTAGCCACGTAAATTGGCTTAAGGGATTTGTCTCTCGGCGCGCTTAATAGTTCGTGTCATACTCGTTACGTCGTCGGTCAGGAATCGCCTCTGGCTTTCGACGTTGCATACATGCGTCACTGCTAGTCTGCACCGACAAAATACCTCTAACGAAAACCGATCGTGATTCGATGGCAAAGTGACTGTATAGTGCATCATCCATCGTATAAAAAAAATTCGCTCTTCTAATTAAATAATATAAATAAAATACAAAAAAAAAAAATTTACACTCGAATGTATGTATATAAAGCTTACTTCAAATTCAACAATTTCGTATATAAAATGTATTTAAATAGCTCTATAACTGAAGAGAAAACTGTAATCGTGTTTTGTACGTATGCAAGATTTCACGAATTTAAAATAAACATTGTGTAAAAACTGAATGTAAAGACTAACAAACGTTTAAATTAAGAAACCCAGTAATCTAAGAAAATCCATGAATTTTTATAAAGTTAGAATTTTAATATACTCTAAAGATAAAAAAAATACAACGATATGAAGTACTTAAAATAAGACCAGTACTTAAAGATTAAAAAATAGCGAAATTTAAAGGATCAACAAGTTCCCAATTTCAACAAACGTAATGCTAAAAACTCTATAATCTCTAATCCAAAATCTTCGCAAAAACTTGTATGCTAAATTAACACATATGTATTTTTTGATGTTCTGTAAGAATGATAATTGTAGCATTTCGTACGGTCAATAAACGAAATAAACAGCGTGCTGTACCGTCAAATAAAATCATCAATCCAAATCGTTATACCCACGAGAAGCGGATTTGCAAATGCGCCATTTCGATCGATCGGCGCGATGCGGGCAGAAGATTGAGATATTTATAAAGGCAATCCCTGTGGGCGCAACGTGAAGGGAAGGATATAAGCCCCATGATGAGGATTAAGGGTGCGTTTAAGGGCTGTTTACAGTTTTGCAGACGCCACGATATCAGCCTATATGTATAAGCCGCGATGTTGCGGAATTTCGGATCGTGGTTTATGGATAACTGGAAATAATTTAAGGGTGGGAAACCTCTAATGCGAATGGTAAGAGTAAACCCCTTCATTGCCGCGCAAGTAGACTGGATAAAAGCTAGCGATCGAAGCGTCTACGGTAAAGTAATAATAATTTATAATAAGATGCTAATACATTACACCTGCAAAATAAAGCGCTATAATTTTTTAAAAACCAGCTTGTACCAATTTTGTAAAATATGAGCAACCTTATGATTCAAACATAGCGATATAAATTGGTTTCCTATCTCTAACCCAACATTAATATAATTTTTATTCCTAATAAAACAGTTTTATATATATATATATTTTTTAGCGACTGAACTCGGATACGCGAATGAGCCATACTAAACCAATATTTGTCGTATCTATTTGTCGTACTATTATTTGAACAATTTGGCGCATTATTTTTCCATAAACTGGATGCAAATATTGTGATAATTCCCTCAGGAAATGTTTATATGCCCCTGAGCAATGTTTTAATAATTATTGTAATAATTATGTAATATAAAATTTATTTGAGTTTAACAAAAATAGAATCAGTTTTCCTTAGCAGAAAAATTAGTAATTAGGATTAGTAATTAAGAAATTTTGAAAACATCTATTAATTTTAAAAAATCTATTAAATTTATTTAAAAAAAAAGGAGTTAAGAATATATTATATTTTTTATTACATTGTGTGTGTGTGTGAGCGAAAATAAAAAATTTC